ATCAAAAGACGGGTTCATAATGTCTCTAAAGCACATGAATTATTATTTAATACGCAATACTATGTAAAACTTTATTATTAACACTCATATTACAATTTATATTTTAGAATTGTCAAATTATACCCGTCTGAGCTGTATGTTCATGATATTGACGAGTATAATGGCCTATTCAGCTTTGAATAGTAGATACTTTTGGAATAGCTTCGGCCTCAATTTTACCCTCAAGTACCCTTTGCTGAAGAGCTTCATACATATCTTGCGCGGTATAGCGATCACTTTTGTCTGCTTCACTAGCTAGAAAATATCTTTCCAATATTTTTCTTACTTTTTTACAATTCTTTTTCTAACTCCCTTTTTTCTATATTTTTGCTTCTCTTTTAATGCCCATCCCGACAGTAATGAAAAATTTATAGTATTCATACTAGATATTATCTATGTAAGTATATGTTATTAAAGTGTTGAATTGGACATATTTGCCATATCTGTCATTACTCATATTGTTTTTTCTACCAAAACACCAGGGTTTATATCACAACCCATATTGTAAATAATTATATTATAAATACACAATTAGCAATAAAACTGTTGTACTAGTTGCTTACCTAGTTTAGCATTTTTGATATTATTTTCTAGCTAGATCTCCAAATTTGATACTAGTATACTTCTGTTTTCTTTTTCGTTTACTTCTATTTCTCTCAAGCTAAGTTCTTTTATCAAATTTCATTTATTAAAACATGTCGAATTAAGGTCTAATATTTCAAAATCGATTATTATTAGAATAAATAAAATATTTAATGCATTTTAATAAATAAAAACTTACGTGAAGTATTTGGAATAGGTATTTCCCAGTCAGAACAAGGCGTAGTATGAGTAGAAATCTCTGGGTTGGGTTTATAAATATCCTTTTTGCATAATTTCTCTAAGTCTGCAGGTGAAAATATCTTCCAATTTTTGATATTAGGAATAGCATGCGCCAAAATATATTCAGCAAACTTTCCTGTAATAGGCCATTGCCACTCAAACCAATTCGAATTACCAGGCAAAGAATTTTTCCCATTACTTGCTATCATTGTATTTAAACATTGATACATAAACAGTAGATATTTTTGAAAATAGAAATAATTTTAATTTTATTTATTACTTGTAAAAAGTTACATCCTTAAAAAATACTCTAAATCATATAAATACATTATTGTAGATTTTATATTTAGAACTAACCTCTATCTCGATTCAGTTTTAAATTTGTTACAGAAGTACCACGAATATTTTGAATAGCATTTTCTATGTTCTGCCCTTCAGAAATATCAAATCCCAAATGTATATAGCGATTGATAGCATGAGATATCTGAATAAATTGGGTTTGTTAGAAAAGTACTAATTTAATGCAAGAGATTATTTTTATTACCTGAGCATGGTGTGAATCAATCATAGTTTTAGCCTCTCCGGTCTCCAAAAATACCTATTTTTCTACTTGAATTCCATACCATTTTGGCCAATAGCCTATAATTATCATAAGATCTGCATTGTGGTAATAATTACCATTATCTGACATAATAATTACTGACTTTACTTTGTTTTTTAACACCTCCATTACCACATAAAGAGATGAAGCAGTAAACCACGAATCCTGTCACATATTTGCAGACCAGTGATCAAACGCCTGAACTTTTAACTTTGTTGAACTACTATGGATTGTATATACTAACACTGAATGAAGTGTCTACTCATTTTTTCCAAACCAATCTTGGTTTGTTTCTCGAGCTAATTTGGGTAATATTTTCATCTTGTAATCTACGAGAATTAGAGCTTTATTCTCATTTAAATCTAGCAAGTTTGCATTAAATTGTCTATTCAGATAGACTTTGCGTGTCTGGTGAGCCATGTAATAATATAGTTGATATTGCAATTTAGCTAATTCCTCATGCACATCATCTTCAGAATTATCTTTTAATTCAGCAAAAAATTTAAATATGGTATTACATTCATCACAGATGCGGGAATGAGATTGATAACATTCTCTGAAGGCATACAATAAGCAATGATTAATGCAGGCATTGTGTGATATTGTTCTTTTAGCCATGATATGAAAATGTGATTCATATTCACGTTTTAAAAATCAGGCTAATTTTTCACAATTTTCTAAGAGCCGTGTCTAATAAGTTGATTTATAATGGTAGATAATTAATAATAGTAATACGGTAAGTTATTTATTTAATTTCACAAATTGAGTCTGAAGCTGGATAATGATGCCCGTAATACATACTATTACTACTCAAAACAAATTCAAATCCTTAGAGCTTTAATAAAAGGGATGTATTTACATATTTAATTCTGGTTACTTTAGTTTTTTTTTTTAATTTCGAATATAAATAAATTTCAGATAATTGAAATAATAATACGAATTTAAGATATTTCTCTTGTATAATTTCGATTATCTGGAATTTTCATAATATAGACTTAGAAATTACAAGCATATAGTCTAGAATAAAAAATAAGTTTGGTTTTTCAAAGCCATTCTTTATTATCACCACAATAGTATTTGATAAGAAAAATGCTTGATAATATTAATTTACATACCTGAATATGATGGCATTTTATATTATCCTAAGTATAATCACTGATTTTGTCAAAAGTATCATATCTATATTTTGAACAGGTTTGACAAAGTCCACCCAGATTTTCACGGTATATATATTGATTTCCTTGTAAATGTGCATAAAAACTTGAATGTTTCATACCATCCGGATATTATTTGTGAAACCGTTCCCAAAGCACATTCTTGGAATCTTTTAGGTAATAAACAGGCTCATTAGTCGCTAAATCAGTTTTATATGAGCTCATTATTACATTCGCTTTGTTTATCAAAAATTGTCAAATTTGTTTCTGTTTTTTAGCTGACATTTTTTCATATGTGATTACAGGTTTGTTTTTAATTTGCCCCCGGGGCCACAAACATGTGCATGTTTTTTAGCAGCAATTATAGCATCATTTAAAACCTAAATAGTACAATTTTAGAATAAGTGATTAGATATAATGCATATTTTATTTATACTGTACAAGTGCGAATAACACCTCTGCATATTATTTCGCGCTTGTATGGTATATTTAAAATTCTAAAACTAACCTTCAGGTTTTCTTTAATTTCTTCATATGAGAATGTATTTGCAATAATTAATAAAATATAATATTTGCCATTATTACCATATGCATTAATATCTAAAGAATCTGTAAAACAATGCCAAAAGGTTTCAGTATTATTTTTGAAATATTTTGGTATTGGATTCAAAAA